TTACCTCGCAAATGGCACAGCTGCTCTCCAACAGCAGAACTAATGAATTGTCATGACTGGGAGAGAGGGAGAGGTGCCTTGAATCCGTAATCCCAGACAGCTGACGGGGTGATGCCTGCTCAGGTTTAGTCACCATCGCTAATTACAGGCTGAGAAATTATAGCCACTTTCAAGTTAATGGCTGGTAAACACTCAGAGATAACTCACGGTGAGAAAGGACTTGCCCTGCAGTTAAAAAAGGGGGGTGGGTGGTGAGAAGAACATTTTATGCTGCTGTGCTGACCCTCCAGCAGTGACTGCCCAACCCAAGCTTTTAATATCCATGGCATTCGTGTTCCAAAAGCGTTCTAAATACAAAAACTGCAGGCACTTCCATGTTAAATTTATTTCTTTTTTTAATAGAGATGTAATGCTTTAAATGCAGATGTGCTCAGTAATAAGGAAAAATTCAATTATTCTCCTCCTCCATCAGTTCTTCTCCACAGCTAAGTATGCAATGGTGTAATGAAAAATGTCAGTGGTGTGATGGTTATACCAACAATAAAATCATTTGCTCTCTGTTTTTATCTGAAGATACTGAATCTAACATGCCAGTTATGTCTCTAGAGTGGGTTTGAGTGAGGGGTGAATACCAGCTCAGTCAGCAGAGTTTTAAATCAATCCTAGTTCTGCAAAAGCAGGAGTACTTTGTCAGCTTAGAAAATGTTAATGGACTAGCTGGCAAGCATGATTTGAATTACAATTTCAAAATTAAATTTCACTGTGCTTATCACTTTTGGGTTTTATTGTTTTCTCTCACCAGTATTGCACATAAATTCCCTGGTAAGCCAAGTGTCTCAAACTGCAGATCTATGATACATAAGCAAAGGTGAAGGTGATAAGTGAGAAAGGTGGGTAAATGACACTAAAAGTACAGTAAATTCAGGTGGGCCTTGGATTTGTGATACTGTACATGCTTTAGTGCTGCTTAATATTGATCAGCCTGGGAGTTTTCCTTCCAGACCTGTTGCACTATTTATCCTCTCTGCAATCTAAGAGGAAAGGCAAAAATCTAAAATCTTCTCATACCGAAGAGCAAAAAATCAGGCTTGCTTTGATATCCATGTTTTGGAGATAAAAAAATCCAAGAACTAAAAAGATCTACGTGAGCATTTTCAAAGCTACAGAATGTTCTTTCTACAGATAAACTGAAGTCCAGTTGTTCAAACTATCGGGATAACAACGGGAGTGGAATTTAATTTGTGTTCTGTGAGTAGTTTAATGGTTGACAAAAAGGAGGGATGGTGAAAGGGCCTCTAATTTTTCAGGGAAGAGCGTGACATATTCAGATTTATGGACAAATTCTAGGTCCAAATTTAATCTTCCAAAAGTGACAAAACGAGCAGAGCAGTCTAAAGAGGCAAAAGGCAAGTTGAATATTTCTTTATCTTATCATCCCTAACTTCTGGAAACTATACTTGAGGATATTGAAAGTGAAACTAAATGCAATAGAGGGTTAACTTCTTTATTCGTGTTGCTCTTTGATGTATTTGACTGGAAATTCTTTACCTTTTAGAAAGTGTAAATGAACACATAAACTTAGTATGAGTTTCAGATAATAAAAACACTTGTAGCCCAGCACCTTAAGTTTGGTATACTGTTTAAGTACCCCCCAAAAAATCCCCAAAGACATTGCAACTGAATTTCTTGTTTCTTCCTGCTCCAGTGCAATCAGTTCTGTCTGGTGGCATCTGAAGTGACACAATATTTGTAATGTGAATGCAAAGGAATCTCAGTTATGGGAGAACTGTCTAAAATTCATCACAGATCTCTCAAATTTGGCTTCTGCACAGCGAGTTGTTCTGTGCAGAAGTCTTCCCAGGCGTGCAGATAGTGTTAACTACAAAATATCTTTTTAATTTTCAAAATGAAAAATGCGAAGACAAAGCGTGGTAATTCGTTCAACCTTCAGAAAGTCACGAATCTGCTTACATTTAGGTCACTATTTTACATATATGGAAACCTTTTTAGAGGGAAAAACCTTATTTATACTTTCTGCTGGAGGGAAAAGTAAATTGCTGATAACTTGTTAAAGTTCCATTAAAAAAACCCCTCACAGCTATTCATACTATGGCTTTCCTGGGTACCTCCCTAGGAGGAGATTTCTGAGTTCTCTGGTTGGCGTGCTGCTGCAAAGAAAGATTATGCAGAAATATATTTGCCACTTCAATTTCTGTGTGTGTGTGTGTGCCCTTTGACTCTGTTTGGACTACAGTCACGTAAATAAGTGTATCAGCTTCAGCAATTTTTTCCAGTGGAGAAGCCGAGGTTTCACGAGAACTCTCCACCCAAGCAGAGTTATGCAGCCACTTCTTTTCACTTCTCTTATCCCCTGGTTCCACAAACAAAACTCGGGGCAATATATCAGTAACCCTTCACCTGACTGTTGTGAGCAGTGCTCACAGTGTGCAGGCTCCCCAAAATGATAAGACTGTCTGTTCTTTAAGGATAAGCCTCAAAGGCACCTCAATTATTCTTTTGTGTTGTTTATGAACTGCAGAGAGTGGTTTGGAGGCTGTACCGAGGGTGGTTGATTCCATAATAATTTGGGAACTTGTGACCTCGTTCAGAAATGCCCAGTGAGTGATACAGTGCAGAGCCCAATTTTAAAGGGTTTGTGAGTTGTTTGAGGGTTATTTATTTGGGGGTTTTGTTGTTTTGTTTGGAAATATTTATATCTGGTGTTCT